TGGAACGCCACAAATTGCAAGAATTAGCTGAACCGAGTCGAGCAGAGTAACTTTACCCCATGAAAGTGGTTATGAGCGTTCATAGTAAGCTGATAACTGTCACATGATTAAAAATATCCCTATTACATGTTCTCTTAGCCTAGATAAGCCTGGCAACGTTCATGTCATCCATGCCTGCTTTTGCTGCAGTACGTTTAACAGTAGTAGTGGGGAGGCTAAGCTAATGTAGATTTATTTATGAAAACAGTGTGGCAGTTCTAGCAAGTAAACAAACAATGGTTCTATTTTTTCTCCCTAGCTCGTCACTTCTAAAAATTCTCTGGTAGCATTGCATACAGCAGCTTATACACTGTTCATTTCTAAATGACGTTTCCCACAAAGCTAGCTAATGCTGGTTTTGGAAAACAACTAACTTAGGTGAGTGTTTAAAGCATGGCGTTTTACTGCTTAAATAACGAAGCTGAAGTGAAAGGATTTTGTGCAAATAAAATAATAAAATCCACAAGTAAAACATATGAAAATGTCCAAAATATATTGCAGTTACAAATAATGACAGTTAACTTTTCAAAAGGATTACTACTCATTTTCACTCATTCTGATATGAGTGTATTACTTATTTTGCCAGTTTTTGCTTCAGTGCTGATATATTTTTTGCTTCTGGAATCTTTCTTTTGCTTCTGACCTTTAGCACTTTTTAACAGGGGGTGGGGCTTATAAGAGGAAATTCACCTGCACCCTCTATTGATCACCTGGTTTAGAGTGACAGGTGTTCTGAACACGTAACCACTCAGGATGAAGCGCCCCCAGCATGAGCGTTTTATTGATGTCTTGTCATGAGCGATGTTTATCGTATTCCTTATAAATTACTAATGTTACACAAATTTATGGGTCCTGTGTCGACCTGAATAAAATGATATAACTTAATATGGGCGCTGAAAAGCAAACTTAGTTGTTTATAAATGAACAAAGCTGCACCACCTTTCGGGTTTGCAGCTGGTGGTGCTATCTAGCCTAGCAGTGTCCTCTAGGGCTAACTAGGCTAGTCATGCTGACAATTGGACAAAATATCTGAAGTTAGTTCAATGTATTAATGTGAAGACAGTGATTTGGTGCAGCAGCGTTCTGTAAACTAGCGTGCTGAGATAGGACGCCTGTTTCAGTGACCAACACAAGCATTCTGTGGGTAGAAACAACAAAAGACTGGCAGCACAGCCTTCATAACCCCCCAGAACCTACAGTCAAACATAAGAAGTTGACTTGATTTCTTTTGAAGTGATTAAACATTACTGTCTGTCTATCTCATGGTAGCAGTAAGTCGTAGCTGGCAGTAATCAGAGCTATTTTCTGCTCTTAACTGTGTTTATGTTACATCATTGCTGCATTATTTCCCTCGACTCAACACACCTGATTCAGCGCATGAAGGGCCTAATAATCAGTTGTTGAGCTGGATCAGGTGTTTTAATGTAAGGAATAGTTGAAACTGTACGGAGCTGTAGGTCTCTAGAAGCAGGGCTAATAAACCCTGATTTAAACAGTTGCAGAACTCACCTAGTTAGCTCTTTAGCGGACACTGCTACACTAGGTAGCGCCAGGTATCATTTTGACCCCATGATTGTATGTTCACATAAGGCATGAATATACGTTCTGGAAATACAATTTATTTTAAATGAAGCTTTTTGGAAAGCATCTATATCTCTGTAAATGAAATGTCAGTACTAGTGTACCAAATGGCAAATTAAAATGAACTATAGAAATATACCTCCACAGCCCATTTTGAATCCATCATTCACAGTCTGAATAGTTCACAGAACGAATTTGATCGGAAGTCAGCATTATTGTTCTGAGATGCTTTAAGGCGTGTCCTGTTCTAAAAGTGTCTTCGGGGTTATGTCTGTGCCCACAGGAGGTTTATTTATGACTCTGAGGCTTTGTGGGAGTACTTCACATGGTTTCTCAGAAAGAGCTTGCTGCTGAGGCAAAAAACTGCATTCGACAAAGATTTGAGATGATCAAAGTCCTTTTTTGTGTGTGTCTGCTCACACTTTTTTGTTTTCAATGTAGTCTGTGCAAATTTTAAAAGAGGCGCCTCAAGGAGGTGAGAGAAGTTAAGTGCTAGCTGTTGCTGCAGTAGCGTGGGCGAATAGCGTGCACTGCTAGATCTGCTGTGTGACCTCTGATTCTCCCATCTCCTTGGCCTCGGCTTTCTAGCCTCTGCGGCTGCTCATTTCCTTACACCATTTCGCCTTTCAGTCTGGTACAAATGCATTACCACTGTGGTTATCCTTTTCTCTGAAGAAAATTTTAAGTAATTTTTAAAAATGTTGTCTATGTGTATTTCTGTGTATTCTGTGGTTTGTTGTGGATAGTACAGTACTACAGTATCTGCCATAAATGTGCACTATGTAAGGTTACAATTACTAAGCAATATTTTTATAATCATATAATTATACAGCCATATTTTTAGGGGAGGGAGAAGATTTTTCCCCATTTTTGACAGTGATCCTAGCTGCATAAACAGGCAGGTTTGTGCATCAGTGAACTGAACTTTACATTCTGTGTAGGTATGTATATTGCTGCCCCTTACATGTTTTATGGCATCAGAGGTTTTTAAAATGGAGTTGCATTGTGGGGATGGTGGTCATGAGGAAGCAGCGCAAATGTAATGCCAATCCAATGCAAAAATATGTTTTTTTTCTTGTTCATGAGAGCGCAGAAAAATGAAGTGCGTTTTAGTTCAGAAGATCAAAATGTGGCCTTTCCCACCAGCCTTGCACGGCAAGCACAGTCATGCATGTGCCGTCACCATGCTTAAAGCATTTTAATGTATATTTTTTGCTGCTCACTGAAAGTTACGTCCCCCTAGAAGCATATACAGAACAGTCCTGTTGCAACAAGGGTTGAAACACAAAAGCATTGCAGAAATGTTTGGTGCTGCTGCTGTGCTAAAACTGGCTTGCGGTATTTTAATTTGTGCTGTTGATATTTTATGTTCATTGACTGTATGTAGATAGTATGCATGTGACAGTATGTAGTAGGCTAACCAAAATTAACCAAAGCAGTGTTGTTAATTTTCCACCGCAACAGCCCTAAATGGCCAAATTTGTAGATCCATTGGCTCCCAATGGAATTGCCATCGTCATGCCGAAATCAGCGGTGTTGACAGCTAAGTACGGAGATGGCCAGCCAACTCAGCTACTTAACAATACAGACCAGAACAGGTTTAAATTAGCCAAGTAATATGAAACTAAATATTGATTTAAATCTATTAATATGTTCATACAGCTAAACACAGAACAAAGGTGTGTTCTCATTATTTTATCATCATACCTAATAACAATTTTTTTATTCTCTACGTGGACTGAATGTTACTTCACAAAATATCTGTTGGGTCTCATGACAAATGTGGCCTCTACAGGTGTGTCCTTGGGAAGATTTGTACTCTACCATGGTAGCGATAGCTAGCAACCTTGCTAACCTGGTCGCTAGCAAGCTAGCAACATAGGTTTACTTGCTAAACTTAGCAGATAGCAAGCATCACATATTTAAACACTCTAAACAAGTAACTATATAAATTAACTGTTAACACATTTTCATCTAAATTAAACCAAAGCTTATATGTACAGCATATATATATATATATATATATATATATATATATATATATATATATATATATATATAGTCTAATTACAGATAATAAAAAGAACGGAAACCAGCTAAAAAGAGCTTGTTAACAGCTGTGCTGTCAAATTTTTCACTTGGTTGCATTTGATAGGCACAAATGTCAAAGCTGTCAATTACACAGGGAAACTGGTTCAGGATAGCCTACTTTTAACATTGGTTAATGTTTAGCTTGTACATTTGGGATGCATTCAGATTTGGCATGTTTTGTATGATTAAAACAAACCCTGGTGTGATTGCTCTGTTAATGTTGTGCATTAGAGCAAGTGAAAACACTGCTAGCTGGTTGATCTTGGTTCACTCTAAAACAAACTCTGATGCAGTTCATTTGATGTACGAACGCAATTAAGACCAAATACGTCCAAACAGAGCCGTCATTTTTGCTCTGCATGCTTTCTTTGGTATGTGGAAAAGATGAGTTTCTGACACTGTTTTGACACATGCATGTGTTTCTCATCTCTTCATAAGTTCTGAATCTGTAGTTATAGAAAAGATGGTTATGGCTTTAAAATGAGACTGAGGCATGTTTGAAGTCATAAAATATTCGATATATACGTTTTACTGCACACATACTTTTAGCATTTGTTAGAGTATACATAGTTAAACGGAGACAAGTTTATTTTGACTAACTATTGACTAGCTAGTTAGTGTGATCTCCTTTATTTGCATTTATTTCAGAGAACAGATGCCTTATTCATTCCATCAAAGAAAAGGGACCCACTTAGCACCGCGTACACTGTTACACCACTATCACACTGGCATTACCGCACTGCTAACAATGGTCCACCAGCCAAATAATGTCTGGTCAGTGGTTGTCCTATGGTGGTTCTGTTGATGTACAAGGTAGAGGGGACTGATAAACTATGTAATAACAGATGTTGTAATTCATTTCATTTCATCTCTGGAAAGTATTTTTTTTTTCCCCTCTAAGGTTAAACTATTAAAATGCTAACAGAGTGACGACCAGTTAGTATTGTCGCATTTGATTAATGCTAACTGGCCACATTAACCATTTTGTTCGGAGTTTTCCTTTAAATGCAGAGACACAAATGGGTGAAGCAGCTGGTGGGTGGCGTTTTTCTCAACAGCTATTCGGGCCTTGCACACTGACACGGCTCCCTCAGTAGCCCCCGACAGGCTCCATTTGTGACATTTGGTGAGAGCAGGGCTCGTTTCTATGGTGACGCATCTCCATCTTTCTCTCTCTTTCTGTGTCTCTCGCTGCATCTCTTTCTGCTATCTCTATATTTCTGTCTCTGCCTCTGTCTATCGCTGTCTCTTCCTGTCACTCTCGCTGCTTATCTTACTCTCCCTCTCAGGCTCTGCAGGTGGATGTACGGCGTTTAAATGTAACTCTTCTGCGTTCATTTCGTGAGGGTGTGGCCGCTGCACTGGACATTTCACCCAAACAAGTGCACATCAACCGCCTAAATGTAAGAACAGTTGATGGACTAAACCTGTTTGCACCAGTCATCAAATCAGTTTTTTTGCTTTGATCTTTTAAAATGCTTCCAGTGATGTCTGTCTGATTTATTAGTTTTAATCTGAAGTTTATTGTTAAATATTCAGTAACAATTTTCATATACTCATATAATGACACACCTCATTGTTGTATACTGCATGCTATTACAAATTGTAGGTCTTACTGAAGGGTCAGTCTTGTTGCACAACAGAGGCTAGTGTCATCTGCTTTTTATTACGTTACACATTTGTGTCAGTAAGTTTAATAGAAAGTGTAAGCTTAACTGAAGTTTACTTTACCATAGCATAACAAAGTTCTAGTTCTGAAAGTAAAGGCATACAGAACACAGCTATGAAGACTGAAAACTGGTTGTGCAATTTTATGAATAAGTGCATGTTTGAGCATGTCTTGTGATTGCTTCTTTGGACTTACCAAAGATGTCATGTTAGGTTCTGATTGTGTCATTTGTTTCTCTGTCTGTCTAAGTTTGCATTTCACTAATGTCCTCTGTTTTCTTAAGGAATACATTGCAACTAATGCAGCAATACTTTGAAGGGCATTTCTGCTGATATTTATGCATTTTTGCCTAATTCAGTTATTGATATGTAAACAAAGTCACTGAGAGTGGTATGATGTGAAATGGTTCATTGTACAGAAACTAACCCACTCAGATTCTTTACAGTGTTAGTGACAGAAACCAGGAGTACTGATGTCTACAACACAAATATAGCCATTTTACTTAATATCCAGGACAATCAATGGACCTTCACATTTCTTCTAAATCTTTTATATGTAATATTGATGATGGCAAAACAGTGGTAAATGCCAAAAATGAAAAATAAAAGCCAAAAGCGTATGTCAAAACTGTCATAAACAACCTATCAAGCACCATGCAGTGTGTTTGTAAACATTTTATGTAGTAGCTGTCTGTGAAGTAGCTTTTAGAGGCGTTGAAGTCCTCAGATGCCTGGTTCCTATCACCAAGTTTTCAAACAACTGTGGCTCGATAAGTTTGTCTGGAATGGCTCACTTCGTATTAAATTACTCTGAATGACTCTTTAGAACTTTGCACTGTTGAATTATGCATAAAATTTTGAAAAATCAGTAGATTTCTCCTTTATGCATTGCTTGTAACACAGATTTTCCCACTCTTCTGTATTTTTCTTCTACCACCAGGCAATATAAAGATATGTCAATTGGATACATTGTGTTGTGGATAAAGGAGTTGGGCTGTGTGCCTTCAGTCAGTCTTTTTATTTAACATTAGCCTTGGCATTGAATTAGGGACCCTTAAATGGTTTCACAACCATCCTCTTATCTCTGTCACTGAGCTTTAACTTTTCAACCACTGTTCTTCCTGTGGTAGCTTTTCCGCTTTCAAAATGTGCTGTACATTTTCCCCTTCATCTCTTCAGGTTTGGTCTTGCATTTGTTCACAGTGTGTTTTTTTTGTAATGTTATGTGTACATGTTTATATGTTTTTAATTGTTATTTAGTGAATTAAAAAGTTTGGGCACACCTGATTGAATGTATGCTTTTCATAATGACCAAATGTACCAAAATTTAGCTGATTACTGTCTCAATTAATGCCTTGGGTTTGAATACATCATAACATCTTTGTAATTATCTAAGGTTTGAATAATTCATTATAAATAAATTCATTTTTTTACGTTGGAGCCATAGTTTGACCTGATTTGGTAGAATGGTCCATATATCATTTTCTCAGATAACTAAGACTTTTGTACAGTAGGGTTTTCAAAAACAAGAAGTTTCTAAAAGAGACGGTGCCTATGTGCACATTTACAGTTTTCCATAACAATAATGTTGAATTAAACTCTGGTTACAATAAAACACCAACTAGTAGTTTTAATTGTATGTGTTTTATTTAATAGTTTTGATGTGTTATTTGAAAATATAGAAAACAGTAAAACTAGGGAAAACTTCTATAAGTTGATGTGTTCAAAGTTTTGAGTGATAGCTACTTGATTACAGCGCTGCGAAGTATTTGCCCCTTCCCAATTTTTTTTTTTTTTTGCATATTTGTCACACATAAATGTTTCAGATCATCAAACTGTGCCAAAAATGCTGTTCAGCCCTACCTGGCCCTATGTGAAAAAGTAATTGCCCCCTTAGCTACTAAATCACCCAGTTAACCAAATACAACTGACTGTTGTGTTCAATTTCACCAGCCACACCCAGGCATCATTACTGCCTAACCTGTTGAAACTAAACACCGCTTAAATAGAACCTGTCCTGCAACGTGAAGCGGGCTAGAAGGTCTCAAAAAGCAGCACATAATGCCACGTTCTAAAGAGATTAAAATACAGATGCAAAAAAAGTAATTTAAATCTATTAGTCTGGAAAAGGTTACAAAGCCATTGCTAATGCTTTGGGACTCCAGAGAAACATCTAAAGAACTGCAGGCCTCACGTGCCTCAGGGAAGGTCAGTGTATACAATTCCCAATAAGAAAGACACTGGGCAAAATACTATCTATGGGAAAGTTGCAATACAAACCACTGCTGACAAAAAAGAACACAAGCACTCATCTCACGTTGACCAAAAAAAATCTAGATGGACCCCCAGGACTTTTGGGATAATATTCTGTGGACTGAGTCAAAGGTGGAACTTTTTGGAAGACATGGGTCCTGTCTAGGGATGCATGTTCCAAATCAGTCTTCATTGAAATCATCCAATATCAATTCATTGAGACCCGAGATTGATCTTTAAAATTAGCCTTTTTTTCCTCCGTGTATGTGTAAATCTTTAACCCCTTTAAATCTTGCTTGACCAGCCATGAAACCAACCTGAAAGCAGATGTCTGGTAACATTTTGGATTCTAAAACCATCACTGTAGTAAAGAGCTGGACAAAAGCAAAGCCGTATGTAAGTTGTGCAACATGGAGGTGAAATATTGTAGGAATACCACAACTATGAGAAACCTAACGCGACACCACCCTGATATTCAAAAAATGCCAGACTCCAAACAACCTGCACTAGAGAAGGCATTTGCAATGAAATTACCTTCAAGTCCTCCCCTGTGCCAAAAATTACTGAGGCTCTAGTAACTTCTATATGTAAGGATATACATCCACAGTCAAACATGGTGGTGGTAGTGTGATGCTCTGGGGCTGCTTTGCTTCAAAGTCTGATGACTTGTCATAATTGATGGAACCATGAATTCTGCTCTCTGTCAGAAAATCTGCCAGTACATGATCTAAAACTCAAGCGTAGTTGGGTTATGCAGTAGGACAATGATTCGAAGCACACAAGCAAGTCCACCTCTGAATGGCTCAAAAAAAAACAAAATTAAGGTTTTGTCATGGCCGAGTCAAAGTCAAAGCCTGACTTGAATCCCATTGAGATTGTGGCAAGACCTTAAACGGGCAGTTCATGCCCGAAAACCCTCTATTGTAGCTGAATTAAAACAATTCTGCAAGAGTGGGTCAAAATTCATTCACAGCAATGTAAAAGACTCAAGTTATTGCACATGTTCGATTGCAGTTGTTACTGCCAAGGGTGGCACAATCAGTTGTTAGGTTTGGGAGCAATTACTTTTTCACATGGCTGATATAGGTTTGAATAAATCTTTATCTTCAATAAATGAAATGATACATTAAAAGTAACATTTTGTGTTTACTCGTGTTGCCTTTATCTTTTATTAAAATTAGTTGAATGATCTGAAAAGTTTAAATGTGATAAATTAGCAAAAACAGAAGGAATCGGGTGAGGGGCAAAGTGTCTTTGTTTATTTTTTGGTATTTTTTATTTGACTATCTTTTTTCAGTTTTTACCTCATTCAGTAAGATTAATGCTAACGATTATTGTTAGCAGTATTTTTACCTTCTTATTGCTTCTTCCATTACTCAGGAGCAGAAGAATGGCATCGAGCTGTATGTGTCATCTGACAGAATGGGGACATCTGAGCCTGTGTCTTCAGAGGAAGTGATACGCTCACTCAACATCAACACACTCCACCGTAGCCTCAGACCCTTTGGCATCACTGAGATCTCCTCTGAGGTGTGTTTGAAGCTCGTCGCTGATTTGCACTTGACAAACGCAGCTCTTTTTCATCCCAGCGCCCTGACCAGCCCTGCTGCTCTCATCTCTCCCATTCTGTTGTGTTTGAGAGTGCCAATGTTGATAAAAGAAAGTGGCAAAAGCTCCTATTAAAAGGGAATTCCATTTTTTAACACTTCTGCGTAATTCAGTGGTTGAGATGTAAATATTGCCCTCAGAGTGGTTTGATGTGAAATGCTCTATTCTAGAGAAACTTACTGACTCTGATTTCTTTGCAGTGGTGATGATAGGAACCAACGCAAATACATCCATTTATTGTACTGTCTAAAATGGGCAGTGAACCTGCATGTGAGTTTTTATGTGGAATATTTATAATGGTAAAATAGTGGTAAATCTGAAAAAAAAATATTTTTGTGGGGGACTGCTTTGCTTGGGGACTCGGTACCTCTTCACCATGAATTTATTTTTAAAAATATGTTTTAGGCCAAAATCTTCAAAACTATTCTAAAAGTGTCTCAAACATCAGCGTATTCATGTGAGGGAAGATTTAGAGGCATTACACTCTTCAGACGTCTGGTTCCTATCACCACCATTGTGAGCAATTCTGACTCTAGAATGGAGCATTTCACATCAAACCACTATGAATAACTTCGTTTACATCTTAATCATTTAATTATGGCGAAATTTAGAAAAAGCAATGGTGTTCCCCTTTACATATTTGATGACAGTATTTCTTGCGACAGTCACAAATTTCAACTGTGCCTTAAGTGTCTTGACTTATTCGTGTTTGTCCTGTATTTCAGATGAAACCTAGTTTTTCCAGTACTGGAACATTGGGCTGATTATGCATTGTGCACACTGGTGTGCTTCACATATATGTATAATCTCCAATCAGATCAACTCTTTGTAATACAGGTAATTAGAGGTAATTTGCTATGCAAAATCTAGCCAGTTATATGTCCTGACAAGACTGTGAGTGCATGGAACACTGACAAAGCTCCAAAGTTCCATGTTATCCAAGTCTGTGGTTATTGATTTACCACCGGTACACTCCTATGTTGTGTTTGACAGTCCTTGTTAGATTCCATTAGATAACCGTTAAATAAGTTTTCATTTTTCACACAAATGTTACATATATCCACTGGGATGGACCAATGCCAGCTTGTTTGCTGTGTTCACATGTTATCAGAAATGTGCTGGTTGGTGATATGTCACTACTTGGAAGTGGAGTTTACCACTTGTATTTATGTCTTTGCAGCTTTTTTTATATCAAAAATCAACTTCCACAGTAAAAAAAATAAATAAAAGAAAAGTTTCAGACAAAAATATGTAATTCAGTAAATGTAATCACATGCAAATTTTCCTCACCCCCTCTGAGTCATATTGGACCAGGAACTGCAAGTCTCCTTACTTTTGGCTGTTTAGGTCTTAAAGAAGGTCAAGCTAGTGGTCCAGTCAGCACCGCACTGGTAAAACAAGGTTTCCTCCATGCTAGCTTGAAATACAAATTAACAGTTTCCTTTGTACATTTGTAACATGCCCGCAGAGGCCAGGATGAAGCTTGAATCACCTTTCAAAAGGGAGCTGGTAGAGTTTTTATAGTCCAATTAGTAATCCTTCAGATAAAAAGAAAGCTTCTTCAGTCGTCCTTCTGAAGCATTGTAAATTGCAAAAGCAAGATATTTTTGTGTATATATACATATACACACACACACACACACACACTGCTTTAACTGTCTGTTAAAGTATATATATATATATATATATATATATATATATATATATATATATATATATGTGTATATATATATATATATATATGTATGTATATATGTATATATATATATATATATATGTATATATATATATATATATATATATATGTATGTGTGTGTGTGTGTGTGTGTGTGTGTATATATATGACTAAAGCAAAAGTAACATTTATTTGGCTGCAGTTGTGGCTGTTGAACGACATGAAGCTGAGCCCAAGCTGCTTTCAGTTGCTTGTTTACCCACAGAGAGCCAAATAGCCACCACAGAGATGAAAAACAGAGACAGAGATAGCAGGCAAACTAAGACATGATGTCTGTAAGACGTGAACGGCCATAAATCAGCACTACAACAGTTATTTCTTTCGTGATCAAACTTCAACTTTTTTTTGCAGTGCAATATGGACTTCACTATTTATTCGGTAAACCAGCTAATGAAAACATGTCGTTAAACAAAGATTTTAACAGATAGATGTCTTTAACGTATTTGACTATCATTGCTGCTATCCAGGTAAGCAAAAATCCAGTCAGACTCTGACATAACGTTACAGTTTATCTGTCTCTTGGCATATTTCATGCATCCATCGTAAAAAAGGGATGTATAAATATGTAAAACTTATTTTCACAAATCAAAAACTAGAATATTTTGAATGACATATATAAAACATGCTATATAAAATGATCTATTGAAAGAGAAATTCCACCAGTTTCTCAAATTTCTGCATAATTTAATGGTTGAGTTGTAGAAGAAAACCATTCAAGGTGGATTGATGTGACATGGTGCATCGTAGAAAATGTTCATAGTGGTGGTGATACAATGCAAATATAGTCATTTTATTTACTATCCAAAACCTCCAATGAACACGTGTTTCCTGAATTTTTATACGCAACGTTCATAATGGCAAAATAGTGGTAAATTTAAAACAGTAGGTTTTCTTTGGGGATTGTTTTGCCATACAACGCCCTACTTCTTTGCCGTGAATGTATTTAAAATAAAATATTTTAGGCCAAAACTTTTGTAAAACTATGTTTTAGTAATCAGGCAGCATGCTTTTATAACATATTAACATATTTTATAATAACTTGCTGTGATGCAGCTTTTAGAGGCTTTTAACTCTTCAGACGTCTGGCCCCCCTCACCACCACTGTGCACAATTCTGACTCTAGAACGGAGCATTTCACAAAGCTCAGAGTGACTGTTTACATTTTAATGCTATGTTATTTACTTATGCAGGTGGAATTCCTTTTAAAGTCAGGTTAATTATTAAATGTGAATATTACACGTGAATAAATACCAGTGAGTAGCCTGTAAATGCTGCTTGAGCCCTGCACAGAACTGAACTGCAACTTTTTAGTACCATTTTCAGTGGTGAGTAATGTGCTTGATCTCTTTCCAGTGTACATTATCTTACATTGCCGTAAGCTGGAAAGCACAGTTGTGTCCAGCGAAATAAGCAAAACTTCATGCTTTTGAGAAGATCTAGAGCTGTCATTTTGGAAAGTCTGGGTTTTGAGTAGGCCAATCAGCCCTAATTAATAGCTGCAGAGCAATGGTGGTGTGGGCGAACGGCAGTGCGTGTGTGCTTCTTTTCTGCTCTCTTCCGGGGTTCATCTCAGTATGCATGTGTGTGTGTGTGTGTGGTGTGGGGGTGTGTTTGCAGGTTACTGTGTTTTTGTTTTAGGGGCAGGTTAAGTTGTGTGCGTCTATGTGGGTTGCGTGTGGGCAGGCCTATGGGAGGAGCTTGCTGCCTCTCTCACTTGGAGCAATGTCAGAGTAGATTTGCCTCTCGAGTGCTGCACTCGTTAATCCTCGCATCACCTGCGAATTCAGACAGCACACACACGTTTGTAGCGCTTGGATGCAAGTCTGGACTAGTGGGGGGTGGAGCATGTCTTAGACTTTGTTGGACGCTGCTGTTACAGGTGAGCCGGGAGAAGACGGCCACTGAGGGAACTGTACATCAGGCTAGCTGCCTGTGATTTTTTTATCATGTTGTAGGAATACTCCAGCATTTTTCAGCCTATCCCATCTGTAGTATTGGGCTAATTACGTCAATATTTCTCTTCACTTAGGAAAGAACAGAAAATCTGTTGACTTAAAACACACTCATAATAGAAGCCAGTGGTCAGGTGCTGCTCCATGACTTCTCTTATCAGCATGTTTTGAGTCACAAAGTGGCTTTTCTGTCCTTTTACTAAGTACAGGGACGCTTGTCAAAATTATTGTCCAATCGTACAAAACAGATGCAGCAGATTTAAGTGCTGGATGATTCCTTTAATTGTCTCCTTCTCTGTCTTTTCTGTCTCAGTCTTTTTTCTCTCTCTGACAGAAGAATGTGCTTCATGGGCAGCATGAGCGGGACAACGTGTGGAGCAAAGAGGGCTTCTACGCCGTGGTCATCTTCCTCACCGTCTTCATCATCATTGTCACCTGTTTAATGGTAGGTCTCTCTCTTTCTCACACGTTCTCGCTCAGCTACACAGTAAGCTGACTGATTCATCTTAATGAGGATTGAAGGTTAGGTCAGCTGATTATACTGCCTTCTAGAAGTCTGTGTGTGAGTGCGTTTGTGTGTGTATGTGTGTAATGTTGCGGCCCTCAAGTAGTTGCCTAAGACGCTGAGTATCCGCCCACGCTTTGCACCTCAACCACTTCCTGCTTCACATGAATAATACATGCCTGCCTTAGAGGACGCTCAAACATTTGCAGGCTCTTGGCTCAAATCTAAAACCCTGCTCTAGAGGGATTTCACCGATATTCATATTTGCACTTAGACGATTTAGAAAATCATGTTAGAGGCCATCGCAGACGGCTTGGAGTCTTATGAAGCAGCGTCACCTGAAGACAAAAAAGAAGGAAAGGAGAGCTAGTAAAGACAGTATGGACTAGTACAGAATAGCAGGACAGTTAAACAGAAGGGCTGAGTTAGTGAAGACAAGATGGTGCGAGTCACAGTCACAGAGGGGGCCTGAGAGTGAGAGAGTGAGAGAGAGTGAGAGACAACGGAAGCGAAAGAGAGAAAAAGGAAATGAGCAGCACTGTCTGAAAAGAGAGAGAGAGGAAGTTAGTGGTAGTGTCCCTTCTTCCTCTGTGGTGTTGATACGCTTTTGGCGTGCCTCAGACGCCCCGAGAGGATCAGCGCTCGCACCTCTCTCTCTCTCTCAGTCTCTCTTGCACCGAAACGGCCTGCGCTGATTGGTGGATCTTCGCTCTCGCTGGCACTGTAAGTCCATCTTAACGGGCCTGGGCAATGACATCACTTCCACCGGCCCGCTCACCTGCCCCGACTGGCCAAGGAGCTTAAAGGAGCGATTAGCCCGTTAAGTTGTAAGCCATTCAAAGTGAGTTGGGAGCCTAAAGCTAGGCTTAGGTTAGGGAGGTGTGTGGGGTGTTTGCCTCTGTGTGTTTTGACAGTTGAGAGTATTTCCGGTCAGTGAAACACTGAGAGAAAAAGGAATGTTGATCGACCAATTGAAGAATCCACCAGTTTTTTGAAAGTGACAAAAGTTATCATTATTCATGCATTATTATGTGTACTGTTAGATACCTATACATAGTATGCATAGTGATGTATATAGCTTAGTATGGCTTATTTATGTTAAAAGTGAAGTATAATATATGTGTGTTATTATGGCTTATTTATGTCAAACATAAAAATAAATATCAAAAGTGAAGTATAAAAATAAATATTGTTTTATATGGCTTATGTACATCAAAAGTGAGGTACAGTAATATATAAATGGGTTGTCATGGCTTATCTGTGTCAAAAGTGAGTCATGTATTATCCGTGTCGCGCAAAAGCATTATGTTTATTTTTGTCGTTTTTTACCTTTATGAATAATGTCAAAAGTACAATTACTCTTTGCATTGTTTTAAAGTTTCATAATGCAGTTACCAAAATTGAAATCAGTCCAAAATGACTTGGAAAAAAATCATGTTCCATTGACTTCCGTTACAATCGAAGGATGCTTTTTCCTCCTCCTGTAAAGTTACCATTTTGGAGGTACAAGGTTTTGTTCTGGCAGCAACAATGTTTGGTTCATCATGGCATTCAAAGTTTAATTGTGAGAAACAACCTGAAATCTCCTGCACAGCTGTGTAGCACTTCTATATGCCTTTCAGAAGTAGGACCTTCATCCACTGTTTTACCATGAGTCTCAATTCTCTTGATGATTAAATGATGATTAGTAATGCTGGGTTATTTGTAGTGACCGAACTGCACATTATTTTTTTGCATGTCAGCAGTGTGATTACAAAAATGTTTCACATCTCTTACTGAAAAAAGCTCAGTTAGCTAGTAGGAGATTGATAGGAGTACATAAACAGAAAAAAATGATCAAAGCCAAATTTGATCACTTCAATAATCATTTAAAATAGAGGAATTTCTGTGTTCCACGCAAAGTTGTGAGAGCTTCTTGTGAATGCTTGCAACACTGCAGGTCTTGCCTCAACAGACCGTGGGAGGAAAGAAGTACTGAAATCTTTTGAGCTTGCGCTGATGTGGAAGTAGTCTGCTAGAAAATGACTCAATTAAAAGTTCTGAATAAGCCTCCAAAATTCTGCAAATCCATGACTGAAGAAATTTTATATTGACGTAAAATGACCCTTCATTCATATTATTTATGGCTTTACTGAGAGACAGTTTACCGTAATTAATTGCAGCTTTGTGAAAGATTATGCTGACAATATCCTTTGACATGTCAAGTTGGAACAGTCTTTGCAAACGATATATTCAGTTGTAAGGGTTTCTGTACGAAAGTAGAGCATTGGATCTTTCAAAATGTGGTAGTTAAAGTAGACAAAACAAATCCACCAGCTGTCTGAACTGAAGTACAGTATAATAATCACATAACATTCTGTGATATAAAAAAAGCTTCTCTAGCTTTTTTGTTAAAAATATAAGAAATAAGAAAAAATAGAACAGCATTGAAATAGAAAAAAAATAAAATTTCTTTAAGTTTAAAAAACTGCTACACTGACATGCACAGAAGACATGCTTCTGGTCTTTTGGCCTTCATTAACATACGGTTTTACATACAGCTTGTTTTCTTCCATCACTTTAATACCGTTCATCATTTAACCATGTTTTCCCCTTTGTTGTTATCCCTTATGAAAAGAAAGCATCATGTGTGTGTTCTGATTCACAGTAGTGATCAACAGAATCTCTCTTTTTATTTATTTTCTATTGTGTCATGTCTTGCGTTACCACAAGATGGAGACAGCTTTTTCACTTTTGACATTTATTCGACATTCATCTACAAAGGTTCATCACTTTTGTTTTTATTGGTCATCTCACACTTTCAATTCTTACTTTCTTTCTTTTCTTTCTTTCTTTCTTTTTATTTATTTATTTATTTATTAGATATTTTTCTGTCTAGACTGCTTCAATACAACGTTTACTGCTCAGGGTGCTGAAAGTTTGGACAGGTTGTGCTCTGAAAGGCTGCAGTGCAGCTGTACTGTTTTAAAATAGTTTTATGCAAAGGTTTGGGTGCCCCGGGTCTAATTACATATTTTATTAATTTTCTAAGTGAAAAATCAGTTAACACATCCTCCACAGACAACACACTTCTGCACATTTTAATGCACAGTCACTGTTTATTTGCTGAATATAACACATTAGGGAAAAAATGTAACCTAAATTATGGGCTGTACAAAAGTTATGGCATACTTGTGCACTAAAATAAATAAATGACAAATTTAAATGTGTTCCTTGTAGAGGATGTGTTAACTTATTTTTACTTAGAAAATCAGCAGAAGTTTGGAATCACTTATTATAAAATTTTGTTAGGTACAGTGTAGACTTAATTCTTATAAAATGGACACCAGAGGGTATTTTTACATGTTTTATTCAGTATTTAAATGATTTTTAACTTCCTCAACATTTACTTTTATTTCTATCATATGACAAATTGTTATTTATGAAAGTAGACACAAGGACATCACTACAACAGTTAAAGTAGTAGTTGCAGCCGGCTTGAAGCTCAAATCATGTTCGTGCTATAGATAAATTATGTCACACAGTTTCTGAAACCACATAAACAAGTGTGTTAGATATTACTTACCAATTCAGCTAAGTTAAAAGAGATTTAACAGTGAAAAGTAATTTTTTTTTAATTAAAAAAGTGAAAAATGACAAATCAGTAATGAGAATTGGGATAAAAAAAGGCAAAAAAAATCAAAGTTTAACGCTTATTATTAATTATGATTATTTATTTTTCTTCTTCTTGTTCTTCATCTTCTTCTTCTTCTTCTTCTTCTTCTTCTTATTATTATTATTATTATTATTATTATTATTATCATTACCAAACTTTAGCATCTTTCTTCTTTAACATCAAGATCTAGAGTTTAGAGGTAGAGAAGTTCTCCAACACTGTCTGTTCTCATTCTCTCTTTAGGTGCTTTATCGTCTGAAAGAGAAGGTTGAGTATTCAGACCGGCAGCTGAAGGGGCCAAGTGTGCCTGGTCGGGACGTTCACTTGGCACCGATTGCAGTGTATGGAGCTCAGCCGCCCCTGAGCCTGACCAGCAGCATGGTGCAGGCCGCTCCAGCCCCCAAGCCTGCCTGCACCACAGTTACCCTTGCCACCCCTGACACGACCCCCAGCCATAACTCTAGCAACCCAGCCACACACACTAACACCACAGTCTCTGTCCCCCAGCCACACAGCCCACCCTGCCCTGCCGTGACTGACGTCAAACCTTGCCTGTCCTCCAGCCCTTCTCCTTTCAAGATGAAGCCCGCCGCTGGCCTGCAGGAGAGGTGAGTGGCCCATTCACTGTATTCCATGTTTCTTGTGCCATATCTGGGCTTTCATGACACCTTCAGCAAAACAGTGTGGATCACTTAGTGAACAGAAAGAGCTAGAGCTTTTAGTGATGCTATGTTATGCTTTGAGATGGCTCATAACATAAACAGCACAACACTTACTTGTTGGCTACATTCAGGCCCATGCATTTTGGGGGGCAGGGGCTCAACATAAACATGAATTAAACTTAATAGAATTTACATAATATTGTCATCGCTCTGATCATAAGAGACCATGCAATGAGCAAGTTTAGTGTTAAAAGTTTAACACAGCCAAAAGTGCTAACATTATTGGCTATACTGGGATTTGATGCAGTGCTTTCTTAATGAGATTATCTGCAGATTATTGGTTAGATACAGCACTGTGGTGATGGGTCGGATTTACTGAGGAGAACCATAGGCAGTCGGTACTGCGCCGGTGGAGATGCCCAAGAGCAATAAATCTTGTAGAACCAAAGCCAACCCACAGGCTGAGCCCCATCTCACTGTAACAAATTTCAAAGAATGGCGGAAGCAGTAAAAAATATAGTTATATAGTTATTATACATACCAACTAAGAGGGGCAGACTGTGGGAAAGGGGGCAGGGGCTCAAACCCTCCATGGGGTCTGTCTGTGCACAAACTAAATTAGCTGTTCAGACATTGAACATGTCTTGAGTGATTGACTACATTTGGCGTAAAGGGAAAAATTGTGTTAAACCTTTCCAGTAAGTGCTGTCACATTAACACTCTTGATATCCGTTCTGGTTTTAAACCTTCATCTTTAATTATGAGCACTTAACAACATGCACTGACTTCGCTCCGAGGGAGTAAGTAAGCTTATATATTTTCTCTGTTTTAGAGTATATAACACGTCCATGTTTTATATTATAGACCCCTATTCTTACATAAGGTCTTGTTATTTTAGGGAGGTGCCGCTAAAGCTCTTTGGCCTGTAGCCTTTAATAATGAGTGGGGTCAGGTGTGAATATGGTGTACGTGTGGACCACACTGTTGGCCTCCTTTGCTTGTTTTCCTGTCTGGGCGTTTAGAAAAGTGTTGGTCGGATCCTGAAAGAGGGTGATCAGGAAAAGCGGAAAAGCTTATCAGAAACACACGTATAGAAAATAGTGACAGATGGATAACGTTTCACATATGGTGACTGAAAAGCCTTTGCAAGGAAGAAGGATGATTATTTTTTTTTAGATGATTTGGTTTTTAGAATGTACAGTTTAGCTAATTTGTTTGTGAGTGGATAACATGTAACTGTAAATAAACAGAAACTAAGAAAAAATGCCATTTATGTAGATACTAAGCACGTTAATTAGTTATAAGCAAAGTGTACAAAGATAAAATGATAGTGTGGTAGTGCAGATAATGATTTGTACAAACGGCGCAGAAACACTAAACAAAACAAAAGCTAGCCAATGTCCTAGCCTAAAATAATGATACAACAATATATGTTACAGTACAATGCAGAACAGTTTGTTGCACTATTATGCTCCAGTTGCTACTCCTTGTAAAACACACATCCGTTTTGGAAAGTAAAATTTTATAGGTGTTTTTTATGTATCTGTTTATTGTAGCTATAGACTACTTGTTAATTATCAGTGCAGTAGTATACTTACATGTGTGTGCTTTCGTCTGCCTTTCCATCTGCCACTTTCGCTCACACATATGCGTATACCACACAGCCACCCACACAGCCACCCACACATACACTGAAACAGGATAACATCAGCTGATTTCCTGGGTACATGAACAGAGAGAGACATCTATATGTACCATTTACATTTTTCATCTTTTACTTTTTTCAATATTTAGTCTGTCCACGCTTTGTCTTTATTACAGCTTACATTCTTATCAGGACACTTGTTTTCAGTTTTTTCTAAAGAAGGTATTTTTCCACATCTCCAGAGTTCAGTCTGAGAAGTTGGTTGCGTTTTTTACTCACCTCGAACACATTCAATGCTATTGAGGTCTGGACTCTGGAGTGGTCATTTCATTGTTCTGAGAACACTAGCTTCTTTGTTTGATTTGACAAAAAGAAAAAAAGATTTTTCCTTTTCTCAGTAACGGGTTCTTGACAGCTACACATCCTTTCAGATCCATAGTGTTGAGTTGTCTTCTCACAGTGAAAGGATGGACAGAAACACCTGAAGATTTTTTTAGATCTGAAGCAAGAGTGGAGCTTGATTTTCTCAAAGATGAAATCTTTAAGTACTGTTTATCTGATGGTGACTGTTTTGGTGTTCTACCAAGTCTTGCACGGTTGTTAGGAGTCTTAGACAGTCACACGTCCAAAACGATCTCGACTAGTGCAGCCATTATTGCCTTGGACCACATGTTTTAGTTGAGCCAAGGATATGTTCTTAAGGGAAGATTAACAGTAAGATGAAGATTTGCTGATGAAGAATAAGTTGTGTTAGAGCAAGGAAACATCTGACCATCTACCTTAGACCTACCTTAAATGTAAATATCAAACAATAGTTCGACATAACCATATAACACAGTTACTGAATACATTTTTCCATGTTTGCAATTGATTCAGTTCTTTGCCATTGATTTGCTTGTGATGTGTTACGGACATGAATAGTGAAAAATACAGCATTCACAATCCATAATGAAAGACTGCAGATTGTCAAAAGAAATATTTGCACGCACCAAGTTCTTGACTCTTTTTTGACTTGATAAATGGCTTCCTTCCCCTCTGCTTCTGCAGCGGTCAAACTTTGCTCACTCAACTTGTTTCGTAATCTCATAGACCAGAAGAAAATGGCTCATTGCAGAGGAGGTGGTTTTGTGTTCATGGTTATTATCAGATGCAGAAGAGCAGGCAGAATGAAGAGGCTGACCTGAACCTGAATTTGTCAAATCTTGTTCTCAGATTAGGAGGCAGTTTGTTATTGAACCAGAGTCCTGAGTTAATGCTGATGGCATGACTCTGTGTATTAAAAACTTATGACCAAGCCTGAGCAAACAGTGCTGTCCTGCAGACGTGCAGAGAGCCACTGCCAGTTTAATGGAGTGAGTTAGGCACAACCTCATTACAGTTGTCATAAAACAGCATGTTGACTTCAGTACTCATACCAAAATGGTACTATGGCAAGTTAAAAGCACTTGTCATTGTCTAAACACCCAGAATTTTGAACACAAAATGATCAGTGTTCAATGCCATCTCATTTTTAGTTTCTCATTTTCAATCTCACCATAGATATTATATAAAATGAATAACTGAAACATTTAACCAGGGACTCATTATTTTGTTCTGAATCCTGTCCCCCAGGAAGTGATCTTAAGGGAAGAGTGTCTCTGCCCATCCTAGTCAAACTGGATTGCGCAGTTGGATTAGCTATGATTTATTTAGAGTATTTTCTTTTTTGCAAACTCTTGTTCATTTAATGTGTGTCCCAGTCCTGGAAAAGTCTCTACATGCAAATTTTTAATGTTTTCTCTGCTCTAAAACAATAGCTAGCCATTTGTGAGTTGAATGAGTTGTGTTAGATCAAGAAAAACACCTAACCTAACCTAACCTAACCTAACTTAACCTAAACTCTACTTTTGGCCTACCTTAAATGTGTAAGCTGTGATGGCTTATTCTTGTCCCAACCGAACCCTGCACATTTTAGTTTTTCTTGCTCTAATACATCTACCTAAGCCCAGAAAAAGCTTGTTAATCCAGAATAAGGGCTGTAAACCACTGAACATCTGATTCATTTTAGAAATGTATGGATAATGGGTTAAATTCAGGTGTGCTTTTTGCCTTATTGACATACATTCAACGGTTTTTGCATGCAGGCGAGGTTCTAATGTTTCTCTGGTGTTGGATATGAGCGCTTTGGGCTCTGTGGAGCCTCTGAATTGTGGAGTGGTGACTCCTCGGGAAAGGGCAGCCCAGGAGTACCTGCAGTCGGCTGGCCGAACCCTGTCACGCCAGCAGCTCCGAGATGTCACAATCAACACACAGGCTCTTCATGCTGAGTTTGCTGTGAGTGACACCATAGCACTACACTGTGGTCTCCTATAGTGGTGTAAAAGTGGATCAGAAGCTGGAAATTCAGTTGAATTTCAGAGTCAGTTATAATAATATTCAGTGAAGTATGTCCTAATGTTTTCAAAATATAAACTTCAGTGGCTTTTTTCACATCTTCATATTTTTCACATCTTCTACAGGGAACAAACTTAAATATGGCATATTTCTGCATATTTTAGTGGAATAGTTTCTATTTATTTGCTGAGTTTAACATATTGGAAAAAAAATAAAACAAAATATAAAATATGCCATAACTTTTGCACAGCCTGCATTTTATTTTTTTCCCAATATGGTAAATCAAGCAAATAAACAGTAATTGTGCATTAAAAAGTGCAGAAGTGTGTTCTCTGTGGAGCTTGAGCCTTTATTTTCACATATAATTCTACCAGGGGCAACCAGATTTTGCATACTAATTGTTGTGTGGTCAGAGATTTACACAAATTTCTATGCTCTCTTAAAGGTCTTAGATGGCATGTCTTTTTTCTTCTGTTTTCTTCACCCCTAGGAAATTCCAATGAACTTTGTGGATCCAAAGGACCTGGACATTCCCAGTCATGGAACCAAGAACAGATACAAGACCATTTTGCCAAGTTAGTATCTCATGACCCTGTTTTATTCTATATCACCATCTTGTATGTTCTGCACCATCATCTACTTGGCAGCTGCTTCTCAGGCAAGAAGATATATTTTTGTATTGGACTGATGGCATGTCACATTAAATTAAGGAAACCTCACTTAGTCATTACCATGCCAGAGTCAACATGTCCAAACTGATTATTGTTGGTGCTACAGAGAGATCATAGCACACTGGACTTACTGACACATAACGAGGACTGAATATTTCTCTCTCTCTCTCTCTCTCTCTCTCTCTCTCTCTCACTCTCTCTTTCTCTTTCTCTTTCTCTTTCTCTCTGGAGAATAGGTTATGTGCTGGCCTGTTACGATCATGACATTTTAGCTTACAATTAATTACCATAATTGTGATTAACAGTTTGTCTTTTTGTTCATTGTACACAGCTATTGAAGTATAAGACTAAAGTGTCCAAATTGGCTCTAGCAAACTGGATCTCGCTTCCTAACTATGACACTTTCTAACTCCCAACTGATGAAAGATGAGCATTAGTCAAACATTAGTCATGTCTGCCCAGCACCAAATAGGAATTTGTTTCCTTAAGACAAGTCTCAGTTAATGTGTTTTCTGCTTTCCTTTATTTGCATGCATTTGTCTCAATCCAGCTGATGAAATCACATTCAATGTGTATTAATTAACAACTTTGAAAAATAAGTGCGACCTGATGATTGTGTAATAATTGTGGCAGGCCTTGTTTTGACTCAGCAATTCTGGTCAAAGCTCAGAGAAATAGAGGACAGTTTACTGTATAGGACTTGGGTTTTGGACAAAGTGTTGAATTTGGGGAACACCTGTACCAGACTCCTCAGATTAACAGCAGATTTTGTCCCTTCATGTTCTTATGAGTTTGGCCTGCTTTGGAAGAGCTTATGTAATTCAGCGTTTTTTATTACGAAATGTTAAACATGCATTAACCCCTGCTCCTTATCCTGAAGCAACATTCCTACTTTTGCTCTTATAAGGATCGAAGTTCATATTAGAGCAGGAAGCAAGAACTTGTGGTTGGGTGGGTTATCCAACCCTGGTCAACCAATGCCCTTGTTACAGTCCCACGTCTTAGCCAGGAAGGGTTGGCCTCTCCTTATTGGCTGAGAAGGTGTAGGTCTTGGGGTTACCAAGCTCTTCCTCTCCTCTCTGTTGTATACAATTAGGCTAAGGAACGGCTTGTTCCCGGAGGCCGGCTCCCTTTAAGGAACATTTGCTCCATTATGTAACCTGGAGGCTAGGCCGCTTGGCTTGCTAACAGCTTCCCGTTTTGGGAACATACTCTTCACTGAGCAAGCAGGGGAGGGCCTCTCTTATAAATACGAGCAAGGCAGTATTCCTTCCGCCCCTCCAGTGGGCCTGATTAACAGTAAAAACAGAGGGGTAAAAGTGGTTTGGAAGTGGACCAAATCTTGAAAACTGTGGGAAGTTTCTATGATTAAGGTGCAGAAGAAAGGACTTGCTTCATGGAAGTGTCTTGACACAGGGAAGATGTGAACATTCCTGAGATGAACTGTCAGACATCTCAAGAGCCCAGGCAAAAACAGGATGTTGTTTGTATGCAGTGTGTATCTAGCTGATTCTGAACTTTGCCCTATTAAAAAGTACAGCAGTGATTAGATATGAATGTATTTGTTTATGTGCTTTCAGATTTTTAGATGTTTTCAGGTGCATCATTTAAATGAAAAGACAGGAAGAGCAAGAAGTGGCATATATAAGAACAGAGCACACAAAAGGGTCCATATCCTGCTTTTTTTGTTTTCTATATTCTTTTTATATTAAAATATTTTTTGTATATTAAATGTGATGGCTTTCATGACATCAAACAAAGTGAACTCAAAACAGGCTGTTTTTGCAGTTTAGTTTCCATATATGGTCCATATGGACTTAGGAGTGAATGATACTTTTTTACTTTAGCAATGTTCAAACATGTCAAGACAGCAAGGAAAATTTTGTTTTCCATGATATGTGCCATTCAAAGTGCAATGCATTCAAAGATAAAATGACTGTAACTATAATAAAATGTTCTAGTTCAGTAAAGTTCTTGTAATCAATTACGCCAGCTGACAAGTGTCAGTTTGAACGATAAAGATCAGAATTATGAACTGTGGGCATGTCTAACGATTCTACTGTAGTGTGACCCGATTTTTGTCCTGTGCCACTTCTTAATATTCCATCTAATCTTTTTACAATGATAGTAATTAAATAAAATGTTTTTTGACAGATCCACATTCTAGAGTTTTTCTGAAGAGCAAGAATAGCTGCGATCCTCTCAGCAGTTACATCAATGCCAACTACATACGAGTAAGTCCTTTTGTTAAAGACACACTTCATTCAAAAGGTTCCTTAGCTTATCTTTTATAACCACAGAATGCAAAATCCTAAGCTTTTCCTTGGGATCATTAATATTAGTTTTGTGTCATCAATTAAATAAACATTCCAACCATACTTTAGGCAGTAATAAATCATGGGGAAAGTGTTTATTTTGCTACCATAGGCACTGAGAGAAACAGAGGAACTCATGAACTCACTTGTAATGGCCTGTTGGCTTTCCATACAATAGAGCTACATCCTTCAGCAGGAAGTTTAATTTCTGCTGAAGTTTCACTGCCATTGCTTTATTCAGTACACCATCTGGGACAGCTTTGACAAAACACTTTTAGTCCTAGATGAGCATACTGATGGCCTGTCATCATATGGATCATTAATCGGTGTTCCCAGTTCACTATAAAATTATAAAAATCCGCTTTTGAGAAAATCAGAGTTGTGTAGTGACTAATTTCTGTTCTGATGCTTCTTCAGAAAAAGTAGTTTTGACTGAAGTAGTTGTGACTGAAGCCCCTGTCATCAGTGCTCTGAAACATCTTAAAAAAGTCATTTAGATCTTTTCCTTTTGCCTTCTTAATCCAAAATCAAGGTCAGCTGGGCCTTTTGCAGCATGGCAGGATTGTGAAGTTGTCACCTGTCTATACTCTGACTTTGATAGCCTCACACAAGTTGGCAGTAAAGTTTGAGCGTTTGTGGTCAAATTACATTTTGTTTGCTTTTCCAGGTGAAAATAAATCAACACATCCCCTACATTAAAACCAACTAAAACTTGCAGAAAAATGCCCCTTTAAGTTTGTTCAATAAAACATGTAATTTGACCAGGAGTGTTTAAATACAACTGTACACCTTGATAGTTGGGCTAGATTTGTTCAGATACAGATGAGGTTGCTGCATTACCTTTATTTGAAATGATACTGTACTTCATTTCAACCTAAAGCTCTGATTATAGTTTGCACTGTTTGATCTTACTTTATTTGGATCTGTAGTGCACATTCATGAAGGCCTGTGTCTTCCTTTCAGGCCTTCTCCATTTTAGCCTTTGTTAGCAAACTGTTTTTTCTGTGCTCCTTTCCAGCTCTGTGTGCTCTTGTTGTCAGTTGATCTACATAAGTCAACAAGTGGACTCCTAATTAATGATGACTGAAATCTTCCTGAGCTAAACAGCTCAATTAGAAATGTTGCGGTTTGTAATTTTGCTTTGTAATTCCCCTGGAAGGAAAAAATTCAATTGCTGGGCAGTGATAGAACGTCTAAAGGCTTCAGTTGAACTGTTGATACCACAGAGAGTTTCATTTTACCGACTTCAGTGACATCTACGAGATCGAATATTAAAACTGATTGAGCAACAGGATTTGAACTGTGGGTTTAAAGAGATGCCCTGATAATGGTTCTGGGCCACATGCACATACGTGAGAAGGCACAGCACAAAATGTATGTTGATGTGGTTGCACTGTGTGATTTTTATGCATGTGAAATTAACATTCAGGCTGTAGTTAATCACATGAACTGTGTATAGGACTGCCTCCTAATTATATTATGCTTGTGGGGCCCATTGAGAAGCTACCACTAATTTATGCCTAGTTTTAAGTGGCAGAGACAATTCCATGCCACAGAACTGCCATAGAAATTTGGATAAATTGAACAAAATATGTAACTTCTTATATACCCACCCAATTTCTGCACAGTTGCCTACCTCGAGTGCATATGTATGAGGGAAAAATGTGGTTTTGCTTTTTTTGGGTGGGGGGAGAGAATGCTTTTTACTTGCACCTAAAACCTGGCACAAAAGGCTCAGTATATCTGGGCCTCTGTTTCTTCTTAATTACAATTATTTCAAATATAAATGTATGTATGCCAGCACACATGTATGTATGTATGTATGTATGTATGTATGCTCTCTCTAAGGGTTATCCAGGAGACGAGAAGGCTTACATTGCCACACAAGGTCCCATGATCAACACAGTAAATGACTTCTGGCAGATGGCCTGGCAAGAGGACTCGCCTGTCATCGTCATGATCACCAAACTGAAAGAGAAGAATGAGGTGATTCGCTTCTTACTTCAAAACGTCACTTCTTTTGTAGAGGAGGATATACTAAAATTGTTCTTAACGTATGTTGTTTTGGGCTTGCAGAAGTGTGTTTTATACTGGCCTGAGAAAAGAGGGATTTATGGGAAAGTGGAGGTCCTTGTAAGCAGTGTGAGGGAGTGTGATCACTACACTGTCCGCACCCTTACACTCAAAGTATGTACTGCTTTTTTATCAAGATTTCTTAACAATCCATCTCTGTTATTTAAATAGATGTTACTGTTTCTAAAGCTCTGTTCGAGCTAGATTAATTTTACCAGGTTCTGCGATATAATGTGTAGGATTTTACTGGCTGATTGGCACAGGAAAAGTCCCCAAAATCCCACAGATAGCCTGGATTGAAAGATCATAGCTCGGATGTACACATCAGGGTTACATGATGTGCATCATGCTCAATAACACAAACAATATGCTGCACGCCTGTGTCTGTAGACACCTCAGGTTGTGTTGTCATTTTGTACTTCCATTCAGATGAGTTTTTCTTCTGTGGGAAAATTAATACTGTTAAAATTGCCCCATTGCATGTTCCATATTGCATCCTACATAAATTTTTCCTCTGGATATCATGGTATTGAATTACAAGGTCATAAACAAATTGAAATGGAAATATTGTTACATTTTGTAAATATTGCTAAATGCAAACTAACACTTCTGCATATTTAATTTACACTATAAAATTGTTGTCAAGTTCACTAGTTAAGTGCCTTTGGTAGTAGTTTGAATAGCTGGTGTTGTTATAATAGCGGCGAATTAGTGTATAGTTATAGTAGTAGCCTTACTTTCACTTTTACTTTTACTTTAACCTGTCATTATCCGTTGAATGTGCTGGAGTGTATGTAACAATGCTCTTATTTCAAACAATAACTTCATAATTCAGAGGATTGACATTGACATTGAGGGGCAAATGTACACCGGAGACTTTGAACTATCAGACACTGCATTAAAATCTATGTAAATTACAGTATGAAAACAAAACTAATGCATCTCCAAAAGTAGTATCGTATTGGTTTGTAGTTGCATTACTGTTTGGTTTGTAGTTGCATTACTGAAATTAAATGTTTTCATGCTATATTTATTTCACGCCGTGACTGTGCATTTATATCATTTCAGCAAGGTGGCCAGAGTCGTAAAGTCCACCACTACTGGTATACATCATGGCCGGATCATAAAACCCCAGACAGTGCAGGGCCGCTGCTGCAGCTCATGACCGATGTAGAGGAAACCAGAGAAGCTTCTGCGTCTCATGGCCCAGTCATCGTTCACTGCAGGTGCAATGTTTGAAACAAGCATTCTGTCGGAGGATTTATAGGAATGATTTTTTGTGCTGATGATTAAGCTAAAAATGATAGCAAGTTTAATGCTATTAACTTTTAGAATTTACATTTTATATATATATATATATATATATATATAACAGTTAGTTCTGCAGTGAATTACATTTGCAATCAATGGACATTTACAATCAGTTTACCTTCTATAACAGTTTAATTGTTTCAGTGTTGAGAAATGACAGAAAATGTGGCAAAAATGTAATCGATAAGGCTTTTCATCAAATTCAAATTATAATAAAATATGTTGTGGAATAATGGTTAAGTGCTCTAGTCACACAACACAAAGTCATGAGATAGATTTAACTTGTAGCTGTATATTTACATACTGTATATATACTTAATGTATATATACTTAATTATAGTTTGTCAAATTTAACATATTGAGGGAAAACAATGATACACAAAACGTGACTTGTGGAAACGTTCTGGTACAGTTTATATTTTAGATTTTTTTCAGCATGTTAATCTAAATAAATAGAAATTGTGCACTAGAAGTGTGCAGAAAAATGCTAATTTTTTTTTTTAAATAAGAAAGTGAGTCAGAGGAAAGTTATTTCACATGGTGTGCTCTAAAAAGAGAAAACTGACAATAAACATTGTTGAAATATTACTGAATTGTACTTTATTTGATTTGACATTCATAAGATATTGATATACCTAATAGGCTACTTCAGTAAACAGTATATGGCACTGAATCATAACGCAAGTTAGACATCATGATGTTCTGGACCTTTGCTTGAGGATATTCTCTCTAACTGGACCTTATTGAATTTTATTTAAAGACCCCTGCTGTAGAGGATGTGTTTTTCATTTGGGCTACATTCACATTACATGCCTCATTTCTCAATTCAGATTTTTTCTGATCAGATTCGATCTTTCTAATTTGATGGTTTACATTGGTGTAGGTCAGAGACTCAAATCTGTGAACGAACATGTGTCCTAAAACAACCCGCATACACATGTTCTATTTAATAATGTCACATGAATAAACCACATTTGTAGTTAACAACAAAGCTAGCAGAACAATTATCTTCGTTGCGAGGATAATTTGCTCTGAACAGCTATTAGCTATTCCATTCATAACCACATGAATTCCGATCTGGCCATTCTCATTAAGGTCACATGGCCATGAATCAGATATGTATCTGGTCTAAAAAACACATATGAAAGTGACTCAGATCTGATTCGTTAAGATCAGATTTGTGTGTCCACACAGCTCTGAAAAAATAGATCTGAGTTGCATTAAGGCAAAAGATTTGTGCCACAGCCAAGTAATGTAAACATAGCCTTATGAAATCAACAAAACATGTAATCTAACTGGATGTGCTCAATCTCAGCAGTTTCTAAAGATAAACACAATAAAAAAATGACATGCATGTTAAACCCCATCTTTCTGTATGCTGCCAGAAGCATCAGTAATAAACATAAATGATGCTCCTTTTGTGTAGAAACGTGAAAGCGTAATTTCACTTAATTTTATTCTCATCTCTTGGTTTGGAACCTGAACTGTTTTACTGCTTCTCTCACTTTTGAGCTTTGGTATTTTGCTTTAGACCAAAAGATTCAAAAAGAAAAGAATAGCACCTAAGAAACTTTAGTTCCTATGCGTAGACATGCTGTATATGCTATGAAGTTCAGCTGCAGTTTTCTATAAGCTTTTGGACTTGAGCTTTTGCTCATCCTCAGGTTATGCTTTATTAGCTTCTTTTACTTATTTTTGAATCATCATTGTGTTAACTTGAGTGTGGTGTTATGCTACTCTACCACCCCTGGTTCAGCATATATAAATCAGCATGGAAACCTGTTTAATCATCATTCACTGTCAACTTATGGCTATCTCTCTTCTGGTTTCAGTGGCAGTAGCTGACATTATTCTCAACTTTTTTTTAGATTTGGTTTATGAAAGCACATTTTTCTCATCAAGATTAGTCACATTCTCACACTGTTTCAGACTATGGCTAAGATGATCAGGACTCATTAGTCCAGGTTTGATGCTTTTCATAAATTAGATTTATTTATTTGTTATTAATCTTTTTTCAACTCTTTTTATGTCTTGTAGTGCTGGAATTGGGCGGACAGGGTGTTTCATTGCTACAACAATAGGTTGTCGTCAGCTGCGGCTGGAAGGAGTGGTGGATGTTTTGAGCATCGTCTGCCAGCTGAGAGTAGACAGGTACATCATTAGTAAGCTTCAACAAGTTTCATCATGAGTAAACAGGTTTCTTACATCTGCCAGGTTTAAGAGCATTGAAAACATGCATTGCAACATAGTAAGTGGCACATATTAAACTATTTGTAATTAATGCGCAGCTTTATTCAAGCCACATTTGTCAGTTTCCAAATGATTCTTATGTATCATTTATTATTTATTTTGAATGCGCAGCTCCAAAAATAATCGCAAAAATGCCAGGACTGGATCTAGCAGAGCACCAAGGTTGCTAAATTACCCAGAGAATGACACTTTCACACAATTATACTAAGAAATAGGGAAAAAGACAATTTAGTGTGCATTAACAAAACGTGCTTTCTTAATTTTAATTTTTTGGAATTTAATTCCAAGCAATTATAAACCATTTCTAGTGATCAGTTCATCATGAAATGTTCATACAATGTAAAGGGCAGCTGGTGTTTTCAGATGGTGTACAAAAATAAAAACTGACCAGAAATGGAGTTAGAAGATTTTAATGTAACAGCAACCTTATAATCAGGGCTGGGTAGCGTTCTGAATTTTTTTAATATTGATGACTCAGAACATAAAATGTGGGCTGTGATTCCCAGATTCCTGAGAAGAAACCTTCTTTTAAATTGCAAACCAAAAGTGGGTATGGCTTAAGACAGAAATGAGAGTGGGGTGCAGGAATTGGATATATTTATTGACTGCAATGGATTGCAGACTAATCAAAAAGCTTTGAATTTATTAACATGCATGCAGAATGTACAGCCAAACACTTTTCTAGTTTTTGCTTACTGACATGCTTTTTGGCTTAGGTGGTATTGAAGTTCGGTATTGAACGACATGGACTTTTTTGTTAATTGGTAGTACTAAAGTAATTTGGTCAGTACCACAAAAGTATTGGATTTCAGTACCCAACCCTTGTTGTAATAATGGTTAATTTTATATGAAGTTTTTGTTTACAAATGGGAGGATAAAGGACTAAATGAATCTTTTTACAGAGACATAACCACATTGTTGTCTTAAATAGTGCTGGAAATAGTACATGTCCATTCAAGATGTCATAGATAATCTCCTTGTTGTGTGTCCTAGGGGTGGAATGATCCAAACCGGAGAGCAGTATGAATTTGTCCACCATGCCTTGAGTCTCTATGAGAGCCGCCTGTCAGCAGATGCTGGCCAATAAACACAAACGGAGGAGAGAAGGCGGTGGTACGAGATTTTTACTCATTTTTTACCAGGAAGAATAATCTTTCAAGGGTCAAAGAGTTCTCTGTTTTGCCACAAGGCATGTCACTCAAACCAGGAGATGTTCTAGCAGATGCAGATCTCGATGAAGCTGTGCTATGACATGAGGCTTCCGGTGATCGTACGTCTCAAGATGCTCAAAAGACTTCTCAGCAAACGTGATGTGTTCTTGTATTCTTTTCTCTGACTTTGAGGAGCATCGTTTGCCTCTAAAGACCTTTGTGTCCTGCTCTGTCCACCTCAAATGAAGTCACTCTACCTGAATACTCACCCTTGAAATTTTGCCCTGTCCACTTCATGGCTGATGGTACTAGTTTTTCATTTCAAAGGTCTGTAGTGATCATTAACACTTCTTTAAAAAAGTTTCTGTGCACAACATATTGGAAGACTGTTAAATGCATCACCTGGAGTCATTTATGAGTGATATGTCTCATCAGTTGCCATTATACCTTAGGGAATAATTTAGGATGTCAGTGGAGACACTAGTTAATAAACAACAACAAACATTTGCCTAAAAGTTCAACATGAATTTTAAAATCAAAGTCAGGCATCGCCACAAAGGCAGTGGAAGTGCAGTTTTGTCTGCTTAATAAACACCAAAGCTTTTTAGTTTAAGGTTTTGTCCAAGCCAAATGCACAAAAAGTCAATAACAAGATAACATAATGTTTAATATGTGACTATCATGTTTACTGACCACAATAGACAGACCAGCTATGACAACTCCTGTATTGTTTTCTTACCCATTTGTAAAATAAGGTACTATAATGTCAGTGGTGCAGTATGAATTATACAGAATTGTACTTTGTATATCAGAGTTTGAATCATATATATGTAAATGTAATGCTAATAATGATAATGTTATTTTTATACAATCTGATTTAAATAACAGTTTGATATTTTTACATCTGAGTTAGCAGTGAAGTTCATCATGGTTACATTTCCTTAACCCTGAACACTTCGTGATTTTATTTTAATGTATTATTTACGGCATAAAAGACTTAGACACAGAAATGTTATTAAGATAGCGATAACCTTTGGTCCTCTTCAGTCTGTAAAATGTCCAAATGTTGACTTAACATGACCAGTATTCATTCTCAAACCTGTGGAAAAACAGCAGGGAAATTCCATGTCCCATCATCACGTGTTACAAGATTCACTCAAAGAGCTACAAGTTGCTGTTTCAGCTGTTTCTGTGAAAAGATGCAAAGTAACTATTAAATGTATAAAACTGGCATTCTGTTTTGAGAACGTCATTAAGTCATTTAGCTTTCTGTAATTTCATCTGCTTGGCTCAGATAAGGACCTTAGTTGTAGTAGTGGTAGATGATCAGAAGGACTGAAAACAACATAATTGATCATCAACATCAACATAATTTATATAGCACCGTTCTTACAGAAAAATACAGCTCAAAGTGCTTCTCATTATTTTCAAATAGTGAACCACACAGTGTATGGCAAAAAAATAGCATAAAAATAAAAAAATGACAAAATCATTGTTTAATAAAAGTTAAAAAGAAAAAAAAAAGAAATACAAAGAATAGGAATAAAAGTAAACAATTGAACAAAATAAAACAATTATTTATGACAGTGTGTGTATGTATGTATGTATGCCATTTCACTAGTAAAAAAAAACACACACTTATTGCCAAGATAAATAGTTATAAATAATGTTCTTAGGTGCCTAAAACATTTGCACAGTACAGAATAACAAAAGGCTGCTCTACCATTCTTTTTTATATTTCATTCAAGGAGCATTTAATAAATGTATAATAAAAAGATTAAAATGATTAAAAAACAACAAAAAGGAAAATATGTAATAATTTTAAAATAGTGGGAAAATTGAAGATAACAACTTTGCCCCTTTTATTTAACTAAACAGATCATTTTAGTGCTAGGAATTTTGCAATGTCATTCTACTCTTTGGTACTATGCAACTCAATCTTGATTCTAATGCTGACTTTACATGGTGAAACTTTCATGCAACTACTTGCATGATTCATTTCCGTGCGACTTCACAGTTACATGAAGCAAAACGTTTACTTACTCCACTAGTAGCTAAAAAGCAGCTCCTGTTTTTTGATACACAGTTTTGTTCTTGCTACAAAGTCATCTTTGAGGTGTAATGTACATATTCGCAGCATTTGGGGGCGGCAGGTTTTTTGTGCATTGATCCGGTGAAATCAATGGTTTAAAAGTATGTTGTTTGACATGAACACGTCATGTGCTATTGATGTTTTGATTGGCTGTTTCATGAGATATGATTCACAAAGTAAAACTCATGCAGCTGAGTTTCAAGTGAGTTGCTTTACGTTATGCGATTCAAGTGCAATTTAGTTTTATGTAGGTTTCAAGCAACTAAAGTTGCATGAAGGTTTCACTGTGTTGAGCCAGTCTAAGAGAAAACATTTATACAGCTCCTCCTATTCATTATTCAAAAGTGTCCTAATTCATGCCATCCCTTACTGATGTAAACAAACTGACCTGCATCAGTGAATATGCATTGGTACTTGGGTCAAACATCATGATTTTCGAGAGTGTGGTATTTTCAAAGTTCAAGAAAGGTAAATATCCCTTTTACAGATTCTGCATGAATGCAATCACGGTTTACATTGTTTTGTAGAGTTGTGATCCTAAGATTGCAAAACAGACTATGCTACAATATGTTTAAAGAGTTCATCTTCTCAAATAAATATCACTAAAGTTGACTGATTTTTTTTTTTTATTTAGTTAGCAATACAATTGTATGCATAAATCAAAACTCTTAACAGACTTAATGAATAAATTATTTCTCAGCAAGACTAAGTTTATAAGTAAGTTTATAGTAAAATGCAATGGCAAATTTGAGCCATAGTTATGAAATTACTAGAAGTTAAATGATATATTTGTATGCAAAATTTTGGGCATCCCTGATCAAAGTGAAAGTAAGTACATTATACTCTATAGAGAACACACTTGTGCACAATTACTCTTTATTTGCTGAAATTTACATATTGGGAAAAATTAAAACATAAAATGTGGCCTGTGCAAAAGTTAAGACACATTTTATGTTTTAATTTTTTTCCAGTATGTCAAACTCAAGCAAATAGACAGGAGTTGTGCACTAAAATTTGCAGAAGAAATGCCATATTTAAGCTTGTTCCTTGTAAAGAATGTGCTTATTTTATCTTAGAAAATCAACAAACCAGGGCTGTTGTTTTTTTTTAAATGTGTTAAAATGTCATCAAATGATCTGACATGGAATGGCTTGGCATTTTGGCATTGTGGGTGACACGACTTAGAATTTAGGCCAGATACTTAATAAATTATTTACTTTCCACTGAAAAAATCTTTTAAGCTAATTCCTTAATATATATATACAGTGCGGTTAGAAAAAAATAAGATTTGCCCCTCACCTGATTTCTTCTGTTTTTGATCACATTTATATGTTTCTAATCATCCAACTAATTTTAATATAAGATAAAGACAACACAAGTGTACACAGAAAGCAGCTTTTAAATGATTACTTCTTTTTTTGAAGATAAAGATTTATTCAAAACCTACAAGAAATTCACAGGTGGACTTGCTTGTGTGCGCCTTGGATCATTGTCCTGCTGCATAACCCAACAGCGCTTGAGCTTTAGGTCATGAACTGATGGGCAGACATTCTCTTTCAGGATTTTCTGATAGAGAGCAGAATTCATGGTTTGATCCATTATGACAAGTCGTCCAGGACCTCCAGAAGCGAAGCAGCCCCAAACCATCACACTACCACCACAATGTTTGATTGTTGGTATGATGTTCTGTGACCTCTTGGATGAGTCTTCAGTGTGCTCTTGGTGAAATTTTGGTAGGCTGGCCACTCCTGGGAAGGTTCACTACTGTTCCAAGTTCTTTCCATTTGTGGACAATGGCTCTCACTGTGCTTTTTAGGACCTTCTAGCCTGCTTCACATTGCCAGACAGGTTCTATTCAAGTGATGTTTAGATTCAACAGGTCTGGCAGTAATCATTCCTGGGAGTGGCTAGTGAAATTGAACCCAATAGTCAATTGAACTTGGTTAACTGGTTGATTTAGTAGGTAAGGGGGTAATTAGTTTGTTACATAGGGCCAGTTATAGCTGAACAGCATTTTTCCTTCAATAAATGAAATAATTTAAAAACAGCATTTGGTTTACTTGGGTTATCTTTGTCTAATATTAGAAGTAGATTGATGACCTGAAACATTCAAGTGTGATAAAATATGCAAAAATGGAAGAAATTGGGAAGGGGCAAATACTTTTTCACAGCACTGTGTATATCTATACATATATATATACATAGCAGGTTGAGAAACAGGAAATATATTTGATTTTTTTTCACATTTTGTCCTCAGATGCAGGTGTTTAATGGAAAAATGTACATACAGAAGTGCTATTAACGTTATGTGGCAACGTGTCTCTGGACCACATAAGGATCTTGCTGCTAACATTGCAAGCATATTTTGAGCAGGATGATGATTGTTGTACGACAATGAACATTTCTAGAACACTTTTTTCTATTATCAGATTTTTTTATTCAAATTATTTCTGATACAGGTTTTGAGAAAAACTACATATATATATATATATATATATATATATATATATATATATATATATGTATGTGTGTGTGTGTGTGTGTGTGTTTGTGTATATATATATATATATATATATATATATATATATATATATATATGTGTGTGTGTGTGTGTGTGAATTTCTCGATGTGTGTAGCATAGAAAAAGCTCTGATCTGGTCAAAACAGTTCTTGTTGATGTTGCTGGTTTACTGTTGGTAGCTATTTTCCATTGTTTTGGCTTAGCGCCTGGGTTAGCCAGTCAATGACTTGTTTTCCTATTTATCGCTAATCAACTTGAATGTTGTGAAAAGCCAACTGTCCAGCATAACTAACTATGGTAGATATTTCTAGCTACTAGAATCTGTACATACGGATGCCTCTGCTATTGCAGTTATAATGCTGGTGATCTAAGGTGTCTTTTGAACTGCCATGACTGTACTTTTAGTTCACCCAGTGAGAAGAACTCCTGAAATTGGTGAAGACTTTACTTGAGTGACTAAAATGTATTGCTGTATATAAATACACAGGAAAATGATGTTACACAAGCCATAATATCTATTATTGAGGTCCTATGTACTGTGTGTTCAGTCCTCTTCTATCTTTATGAAAGCCTGTAATGTGAAGAAATGTTTTTGTGGAGAAATCTGGCTACTTTTGCCAACTCAGACTGTCTTATGCTGAAAATATACCTATGGTAGTGGCTTTATGGTCTTTACTGCCAATAAACTTCTAAAATTCTGTCAAAAAGAGGCGCTCATTTTTACTGCACACACATTTCTATGAAATGTTTACGTACAGTTTTCGTATATTTTACTAATGGGTTGATGTATTTGATTTTTATATATAAATGTGGAAGGGATATGTACTTTTCTTACTGTTTACTATACAAGGTTTAGTTCTAACACTGTTAAAACTAACCCTGCAGTTTGAAGGCCAGACTCTCATTGTAAGTTGTTTAGATGCTTTAAGACAGTGCTGTATTACAGCCAAAAAGAAGGTGATCAAAATAATATGGTATATTCTATGACCTATACACATGACTCAGTAACAATGAAAACTTTCTATGGAACAAAAAAATCAGACTGAATCTTGAGAAATCTGTGTCTGATTGCTTTCAGAATTCACAGACAACATTGCTATGGAAATTTGAGAAGATACCAAAAAGCATGTTTTACTTAACATCTAACTACATGCTACATTTTACCCTGCGTTTTTTTTTCCCAACACATTTACGTAGACTAACTTAAATAAACATTCTTCTGAAAGTATTGATACTTAAGTAAAATAATGGCACAAGTAAAAGTAAAGGTACACCCTTAAAAAGATGGTTATTCTTTAGTAAAGAAAATGGTTCTATATAGAACCATAAACATTGAAAGAACCCTTTGCATGATTAAACAGTTCTTTGCATCATGAAAGCGTTCCTCGGATAGAAAATGTGCTGAAGATGGTGCTGTATAGAACCTTTTTGAAAGGGTTCTGTGTAGCACCAAAAAGGGTTCTTCTATTATTACGATGTCAAGCTTGCAACAATAGCAGAACCCTTTTTAAAAAGATTCTATACAGCACCATCTTCAGCACATTTTCCATCCATCTGAGGAACCCTTTCATGATGCAAAGAACCTTTTAATCATGCAAAGAGTTCTTTCATTGTTTATATAGAAGAACCCTTTCACAATACAAAGAACCCTTTAATCGTGCAAAGTGTTTCATCCTTGCCACCTTATCTGTGTAGCATCCCTGTCTCACACAGTTTTGTAGTTTTCCTCGATGCCAAATTCATCTAAACTCAGTTCTGTTTCAAACTAGCATGCAAAAGAAATAAATTCATGTCACACCTAAAGTGTACCTTTTAAGCACAGTCTTTGTCAGTCTTAGGCCTGTAATAGTACTCTACCTTTTAAGTCGACATGGTTCTTTGTCTTCTGATGTTGTTTTTACTGGGGTAGTGCCAAATTCCATCTCCCCGGCATTTTCTTGAGTAAATGTAACTAGTTACTATCCACTTTTGTACACTTTTGATTCTAACTGCAGTTAGAATCATTTGTAGAAGGTTATAAATGCAGTAAAATAAATAAAATGCAGATATTTTAGCACAGTAGTCACCTAGCCGCTCTGCTCTTCCAGAATACAATAAATACATGATCAAATATAGATTAAAAATATCGGTCCAATAGCGATTTTTTTTTTTAAACATCTGCCGACGTTATGATATGGTTTCAATATCATTGTGTATCCCTTGCAGCCCATTGATGTTTAATAAAGGGAACTGACTTGAAGTATAGAGTGAAACGGAATGATGCTGTTATAAGCAAGCTTTGAGAAATCAGTGCAGATTTGACCGCCTGAGTGCTGTGTGGGGATACAGGAAGGAAAAGGAGGTGGCCTGGCTGAAAGCTTTCACAGACAACAAAGCAGCCTATGGCTTTCAGTCCAGGGAAAGTTACATTTCTTGGTCATCCAACAGCAAAGAGGGAGCAAAGAAAAATCCTAGTCCAGCATTTGTACTGAACAAAAACATCTAAATCTTAATCCAGTCCGACCGAAGCTGAAAAGCATCGCTCCATTAGAGAGACTTCATCTCCCCTCACTATTTTACTTGGCCACCGGGTTTGAACTTAAGACATCTCCACAGCAAGGCTGCGCTGATTGAGGATATCCGTTAGAGGCTGAAGGGTTTATTCGCACGCACTGTTGATTACTGTTGGCCGATGAGCGTGAGAGAACGGACCTAAGGCCTCCACAGAAACTTGTATGCATCCAGCACTGCGACTTTTGGTGGACGTTTGGAAAACTTGCTTATAGTCGAAAATATCCACCGCATGGGGAGCCTACACTTTTACTCATTTCCAAAACCTTTGGATTATGTTTTTAAGTGCCTCTTTAAATTGAATTTCTATTTATTAACTAAGATAATCTAAACATTTGACAATCAGAATGCTGAAACCTAAAGCTGTTTGTGTAGCCGTTTGGGTAGCATGTGGAATCTTGGTAAGTATTTTGAATTTAACTTTCCATTACTTAACAATGTTATTTGGATAGTTCTTATGTATGAAGTTTTGGCAGGCCTTTTCTTGTTGAAGTTACATGCCTACATACCAACACCTGATTTGTACCTTTAAGAACAAGTAAAAATTGATTTTAACCAACCACAATCTTTTTTAACCACTTTCAGAGTGTGGTTTTGACGAGTGCCCAGCAATGTAGCATCAACGTTACAGAAGCCATATCTACAGCAGAATCTATAGAATTTACACTGGAGAACTCAGATGTGGATTGCCAATTCAGTGTGGCCATAATGGACAGGCCTGATACAAACTGTGAAAATGATCAGGAAAATAGAACAGCAGCTCAATGCAAAATTGGAAATTTGAATCCTGGAACTAGGTACCACCTGACTGTGATATCAAAAACAGATGGAAGACAACGGAACATATCCCTACCAACAAGTAAGTGATGCGCATTCTCTTTGGGGAACTATTAAGTGTACTACTTACATATACAATGGGTTGCTAGTTGCTAGTTCATCATGTACCTCACCATGTTACTGACTGCTGCTGCCCAATTTATCAGCTCCCTTCTACACTCTTAGAAATAAAGGTGCCTTAAGAGTACTTTGGAACAGTGCCATAGAAGACCCACCTTTAGTTCCCTAAATTATAGATCTTCAAAGAACCAAAAGAATATTCCGGCATCTTTCAGCCTAGTCTCCATCTCCCACATCTGTAGCGTATGGGCAATTAGCACAGACAATAATTAGTCATGTCTTCCTGGACTTAGAAAAGAACAAAAAATACCCACAGTAGATGCCTGAATGGATGTTTGATGTACCTGATCACAGTTCAAAGGTTAAAGCTTGTTTCTCGAGAGACAAAATGAGAAGTACAGTCTAAACCAGTTCCATCTAGGTCTAAACAAAGCGTTTACCATGCTGAACCAATCTTTCAGGAACCAGAGGTGGTTGTCCTCTGGAATCACTCCTTTTGGCACCCTTTATTTAAAGAGTGTACCTTGTCTGTCAATGAAAATGGAGCATCATATGGCCAGATTTAGCAATAGATGAGCTGCAGTCAGTATTTGTATACCTATAAATTTCACCTGTATGGTAGATGTACCTGATAAAAAGGCCAATGAATATAGATACAAGGTAGGGTTACTGAATGTACAATGATGGAGTGACTTTTATGTGTGCATCACAGCATGGTTATTCTTTTAGTGAGAGAAAAATAGAAAAAACTTGGTAAATAGAAATCGAAATAAATATCCCGGGACCAGTCAGTAGACAAAATGCAAGAGAGATATGGGCTTTGGTTAAGGTTCAGTGGCAAGATATAATATTAATATTGTCATAAAGATATTATTTCTAATCTGACAAGCAGAATTCCTTCATCTTTAAATATTTAGAGCAAAAGATACTAAAGCAAGGCTATAATGAATGTTTAAATTATGTTTGTACTCATACAGATTAGTGTGTTATAGTATGAGCTTTAATCAGACAACCATCATTTCACATTCCATTACTTTCTGCTGTGGTTGCTGGTAGAGAACTCTTGACGAAGCAACCTATCTGTCGAAATGGTTTTGAAATCTTCTTGCAATGAAGATGTTACGTTCTTCAGTCACTGTTTGGAATTCTCAATGATTTCCACATCATGCTATGGTAGTTTCTCTAAAAGCAGCAACCTTTTAGTTTAGAATTTGCACTGAAAATAAAAAGGAAATACAAACAATTCACCAAAAGTGGCTCATGACCTGTCATTTCCTAAAAATATATCCAACAAATGGTGAAATATCAAAGTAAAAATATTCCCGACACAATCCCGTGTATTAATCCTGATGCTAGTTTTTTTGTAAATTTTATTTATTGTTTGACATTCACAAGACATAGTAAATTGTTGCTGTTGGGGTTGTTTTTTAAACAGAATTTGAGGATGCCAGCTGCCCTTTACAATAGGTTAACATTTTCATGATGAATGGAGTGATAAAATGTTTCAAATTGTTAAGAATGTTTTTATCCTGTAAATTTACCATTTTGGGGATATGAGGTTTTGTTGTGACAGTGACATTAAAATTATTATAGTTTATTATAAAAAGAATTGGTTTTCTGTGCAGAGACTGGGTTGGGTCTATTGACTCAACTCAGGGTGTATATGTGACTGTCTGAGTGTGTGTGTGTGTGTGTGTATATGTGTGTATATGTGGGTGTCTTTGTCTGACGTTGGGCCTGGCTCCAAAACAGAAGTCTGACCCTAAGTATTTCCAGACTGTTCTGCCCTCTCCCCTGCCCTTTCCCGCCCCATTGTTCTTTTGTCCTAAAGGAAATGGAGAGAGGGGGGCTTGCATTCTGTTTTGATTGGGCGTTTGATCAGGTCTCCACTCTTGACCTCTCATAGCATGCAGTCTGATCCCATCACCTGAACCACTCTGATTTTCACACATCAATGGTCCACTCCCAGTCTAAAAATACTTGCACTTCATAATCAGGAATATCCTGGACAAAGATTTTGAGGCTCTCTCTGCATGGTTACAGTTTGAAGACACTTTGACTCAGTTTTTTAATTTGAATTTTCTCACTGTTACTTTTCAACTAAGTACAAAAGAATACCCACAAGCAGGGCTGGGCAATTTGATAACATTTATCAGTATCATGATACATTTTATCAATATGTCACTATATGGTCTATTATTTATTTAAAATGTATCCACTACGTGGTGAAATATTACAGTAAAATGTTCCAGAAACAATTCTGCATATTAATTCAGTTGTTAGTTTTTGTGTTTTGTGAAGTTTAGTCATTGTTTGATACTCACATGATACAAGATAGTATATTGTTGCTGTTGGGGGAAAAAAAGAACCATGACCAACAGTATGTTTGATTACAATAAGAGTATAATTAGTCCTGATTAATTGAATTGATTTTCAGTGCAGTGTGTGAAATGTTAAACACAGATCATTGTATTCATAGTCTTTATAGTATTTCTAAAATGTGGCACTACTTCTTATGTCTTAGGAAACACTGCTACAGAAAAAACACTTCTGACCCCCTGAAGAACCTTTCAATGGATGGTTCTTTAAATAATCTTTTTTTTTTTTTCTAAATTACATATCTGTTACCGTTTTAAAGTTTCAAGAACCTGTACATAATGAAGAAGTCCTATACCTATAGTCCACCTGAAATCAAAACTGGCATTTTTTACTTTGTTAATTCATGTCCATGGTGATATTAAGCAAACTTCATTATTTTATCTCATTTACAAGACAAAATTCTTGTTTTCCTGCAAACTATGACCTAGGTCTTCCTAATTAGGGCACCGTACGACTACAGAATGACGCATGACTTCTATGGCAGCAACTAGTACACATATGCTTATCTTAAATTGAACTGTGTCTGTCATTAGTTTGCAGTTCCTATTTTAGAATTATCAACTTTGTAAAGAGTTTAGTTAGCCTAGTAACGTTAGCCAGTGCTAGCAAAAATTAGCATATTAGCAGATACAAAAAGTTCATATTTTCAAACTCTCAAATGTCAAGATTTGTGTGACTCTACACTTAATTCTGTTTTTTTTTCTTGCCACTAAAACACCGTCTCATTTCTGATTACATCAACATACACCAGCAAGAGGGGAAAAACAGTATTAACTAGGGATGCATGGATACCAAGTGTGGTTTTAGTACTCGCCGATACCGAGTCTGATACTATACTGAGTGACCTACTTAGAATTAAGTAGTTCTTAGTGTAAATGAGTGCAAGTTAAATCATTAAAGTCTGATTTTAAATGAGGTGCATAAGCTTTATTTATTTAACACTACCTCAGATTAAGTAGCGCTGCAGTGGAGAAGAGCGGGTTTAGTTCCACTTAAAAAAAAAGTGTTTTCTATGCAGCTGTAGTTTTGCTCATCATCTGTGTCTTTCAAGCATCCTCTTCAGCTCATCCCACAGGTTTTCTTAGGGGTTTAGGTCAGGGGACTGGGGTAGCCATGGAAAAACCTTAATTCTGTGGTCAGTGAGTCATTTTTGTGTTGATTTTGAGGCGTGCTCTGGATCATTGTCGTGCTGCAAGATCCAAACTATGGCCCAGTTTAAGCTTCCTGCCTGAGGTAGTCAGGTTTTGTTTTTATTTCTGCTGGTACTTGTTGGAGTCTGTGATACCACGTATCCAAACAAATTATCCAGGGCCTTTGGAAGAAAAACAGCCCCACAATATCACTAATGACCATACTGTCACAGTGGGGATGAGCAAGGAGCGAAATAAAAAAAAATTCTCTGATGTTTCTCATAGTGATGGATGACTGAGGGAATTTAGCCTGTTTGTCACCTCTTGGTTATATCCCAATTAAACAGGTAGTCATGATTGACCATTTAAGAGTTCCTAATCACTCAGGTGAACTTTAAAACATAAAATATGAATGTAAAAATATTCCAGGAATTTTTCGTCCATTCATCCAGAAGAGCATTTGTGAGGTCAGACACTGACGTTGGACAAGAGAGCCTGGCTCGCAATCTCCATTCTAGCTCATCCCAAAGGTGTTCAGTGGGGTTGAGGTCAGGGCTCTGTGTGAGCCAGTCAAGTTCTTCCACACCAGACTTACCTTGTTTTGGGCACTGGGTCTCAGTCATGCTGGAACAGAAAAGGGTCTTCCCCAAACTGTTCCCACAAAGTTGGAAACATACAATTGTCCAAAATGCCTTGGTATGCTGAAGCATTGAGATTTCCCTTCACTGGAATTAAGTGTCCTAGGCCAACCCCTGAAAAACAGCCCCATAGCATTATCCTTTCTCCACCAAACTTTACACTTGGCACAAGGCAGCCAGGCAGGTAACATTCTCCTGGCATTTGCCAAACCCAGACTCTGTGAGTTTGTGTGGTCTACCGATTCACGGCTAAGCTGTTGTTGCTCCTAGGTGCTTTTATTTCACAACAATAGCACTTACAGTTGACAGGGGCAGATCTAGCAGGACAGAAATTTCACAAACTGACTTGTGGCAGAGGTGGTATCCTATGACAGTGCCGTGTTTAAAGTCACTGAGCTCATCATTATGACCCATTCTACTGCCAAAGTTTGTCTATCGAGACTGCATGGCTATGTCCTTAATTTTATCCCCCTGTTAGCTATGGGTGTGGCTGAAACACCTATATAATTAGGAGGGATGTTCCAATATTTTTGTCCATGTATTGTACTTTAAATAAAGATAAGATTTCTGTTAATATTTTGAATGAAATATCAAATGGATAAGCAATAAAGAATGCTTTTTACAGCCCTTTTTGCTCATTTTTACCAGGGATGCCAATATTTCTGGAGGGCATTGTACATACAGTTATACTGAATTTATAATGCTATCCAAAACCATCTGTGTGTGTAAAACACCAGTTGGAAGGTCGACAATAAGTATTTTTATCTGTCATCTGTTTGAGTAAGTTTTGGTGAGTCTCCCTTAAAGTACGATTG